CATACATACATACACATAAATACATACACACACACACACATATATATATATACACACACACACACACATATATATATACAAAGTACAAGAAACAAAGCACAAAACAACCACAACACACTGCCACGTCAATCAATCGATAGCGAGTGCGAGGTGCGTGTGCATGCAGAGAACACATCCAGCAGTGGGCCATAGGGCTGACCCGCATGTCAATACACTCAGCAGTACAGTAGGCAATAGAGCCAATACGCAAACCTCTCGACATACTAACATTGCAATTGCAATTAGTAATGCGTATGTGGCAATTGCATCGCACATCACCCGCACGACAAACATTTAAACAGATAGATATGTGCTAGGGTTTATTACACAGACAGATATGTGTTAGGGTTTATTAAACAAGTGCTACAGTTTATCACACAGACAGACATATGTTAGGGCTGAGCAATTGTCCTTTGTACCACACAGTCACATTGATACTTGCAACGCACACGCGTACAACACAGTTCCATTGGCCTTTGATCAGGCTAACATACGCCGTCCTGGTTGATGTCGACGTAATTGGTGTCGCAGTATGTCTGCATGTACAGCTCTTTCGACACTTCCGCCCCCGCCGCTTGCGCAGACTGAGAAGACAAGTGGATAAGACCAGAAGAAATTAAGACAATAAATGAGAAGACAAGTTAATAAGAGTAGAATCAATAAAATGAGAAGACAAGCGAATACGAATAGAATAAATAGAAAGACAATAAATGAGAAGACAATAAATGAAGAGACAAGTGAATAAGAGTAGAATTAATAAAATGAGAAGACAAGCGAATACGATTGGAATAAATAAAAGACAATAAATGAGAAGACAAGTGACAAGGGTTGAATAAGGGCGAGTTAGGAAGGCAAATGATAAAGGTGGGTGAGATGAGGGAATTTGAAATCGGAAAGTGGATCCGGGTGGGATAACAAGGGCATGGGACTACAGGTGCATGCATGTTTATGTACAAGTACAGCACATGCATGTATATGTACAAGTACAGTACATGTGTATATGTACAAGTACAGTACATGCATGTATATGTACAAGTACAGTACAGTACATGCATGTATATGTACAAGTACAGTCATGTATGTATATGTACAAGTACAGTACATGCATGTATATGGACAAGTACATGCATATATATGTATAAGTACAGTACATGCATGTTTATGTACAAGTACAGTACATACATGTAAATGTACCGTACTTGCATGTATATGTACAAGTACAGTACATGCATGTATATGTCTAAGTAAACCAGCACATACATGTCTGTGTGTGTAGTTTCCCATGTACACCTACCATCTTATTAACGGCTTTGGTGAGTTTAGTTTTGCGGTAGAGCACATGGCGTTGGTAGTATTCGATGAGATCGGGAATGGTATCAAATCGCCTTAGACCAGGTGCCACCACAAAGAACCGCCCTTCGCGTTGCAACCGACAGTGCTTGATGCCCCGACCGGCCCTGAATTAAAAGGACAGGTGCATGGAGGAGGGCAGGAGTATAAGTACGAGGCCTGGGGAGATAATATTGTTGGCGAACAGGCCCACAAAGAAGAATTCCTATCTTTGATACGTTGGCTAGTAAGGTGATATATATATATATATATATGTGTGTGTGATCATATGCTCCAGTCATCAATTTCAGTGCAGCTGTACTGCACAGTCACGGAGCAAGTACAATCAATTACATGTATAGGATGGCCACTATAACAGACCTTACATGAATGAGATCATACACTCAACTGTCTACAATCACCTAGTAAAGTACAAACTACCGGAATGTGATGGTTCCTATATTTGGCAATTACCTACATACCTGAATGAGATGGTGTATGCGTTGGCGTCGTCTGTGGCTTTTCTGACGAGGAAGCTGCCATCCTTGACGGTGCGTTTGAGATGGTACTCTGCTTGTTCTTTGGCCATAGTTGGGTCGTACCAGTCATATAGTGAGATCCCTTGCTCGTTGGTCAGTACAGGCACCTGTGTGCGTGGAAATGCTCGAAGATGAGTGCGTGCGTGCGTATACATATATATATATATAAGTGTGTGTGTAGCTATTTGTATGTACGCTTTCCTTGTACGCGCCGGAATAGACACACCACAGCGGAAACAATCAGATGCATGTATTATTATTATGTATGCGGTTGTACGTATTTCCATAGGGGCGTGTGTAGGTATAATGCGCATATGCGATCTCTGTAGTAGTTACCTACCAATGGGCCGTAAGTAGCATGCGAGCAAGTGATAACAACAGAGGAAAGCGCTAAAGGCAGGGCACATTTGTAAACAAATCTGCGACATATACGCAAGCAGTACACTACCTTACTCACAGTAGCAAGTGTGTAGTACGTCTATAACACACTGCAAAAACGTATACCAAGTACGTAGTACGTTTTTAATATACGTACCACGTATGCAATACGCCTAACTATCGAAGAGTGTACCAGAAGCAAGCAGCAGACCAAGTCTATCGCACATGAGCACGTACTATGTCTACAGTTCCTTTGCACGTACTCTATACCCAACACACACAACGCCACTCATCACTCTCCACGCTCATGCGCCTCACGCACCCCTACATACCGCTCCCAGTGGTCTGGTGAGGACCATCTCATCGCCATCGGCTGTGAGCAGGGTGTTGTTTTGATAGAACTCAATGAGGTCCAGCATGCTGGTGAAGCGAGGGGTGTCTACCAACCAGTACTCCTTCTTACCCTCTTCATTGTCAGGCGACGTGCGCAGCAGCACGTGCTGGTCGAGGTTGAGTTGGTCCCTGGTGGGTGCATAGTGGACAATTAGAGAGGAGTGAGCGTGAAGGCGGCGGAATTGTGCGCGAACAACCAGGATATATGCATCAATACATGCATTACATATATATATATATATATAGAGCGTAGTAAGGGTATGTACTGGTTGTTGTGACTAACAGTGTTCTGACTAGTAGTAGTCACTTACCAGTATGAGAGAGCGTAGTAAGGGTATGTATTGCGTGTTCTGACTAAGAATGCGCCGTGGACATTTGCTTTGCGCAGTATGGCATGGGCTTCCGTTCGTCCACACTCATTGGGATGAAACCATCTGTAGAGCAAGAAAAAGGGAGAGGGGTGTGTGTGGTGTTAGAATAAACCAGGGTTGACCAGGAAAAAAAAAACAACGATTGCGATTGTGATATGTGGTGAAGACGACTATGTTTTGCTACATTCATCATTTATAGCAAGCTGAGAATCATACGCAGAGACAAGGATTTTGGGTTTAGGAAACACTATACAATTGACCTATATGGTGCGTATGAACCCACATAGACAAATAGATATATAGGCATAGACACAGACATGTAGAAATAAAGACTTAAGAATATGTACATATACACACATATACATAGATCTACAAAAAATATACATAGACAGATCTTCAATAGAAACGCATAGACATACATATACATAGATCAATAAAAATACAAAAATACATACGTATACGTATAAATACATAGATCTTCAATAGATACACAGGCATAAAAATACATAGTTTATCAATAGATACATATAGATCGGCAATAGATACACATACATATATCTAGCATAAACACACACATAGCTTACGTTTCGCCCCAGAAGTCTTCCTTGCCGTCCATGATGTCGTCGTTGTCATCGTCCTCGTCGTTGTCGTTGTTGCCCGTGTCCACATCTACATACTCAATGTACGTGGGGTGGATCACAAAGTAGTACAGCATAAAGTCCTGTGGCAGGCAGCGGGAGATGGCACACGGGGAGTATTGCAGAGATTAGTATGTATGGACATGTGTGTACGGAGAGATAGGGTATGCATTTACATATGTGCAAATAGAGATATGTATGTACATAAGTACAAGTACAGATAGGGTATGCATCTACCTGAGTGCAAATAGAGATAAGGCATGTATGTACAAAAGCGCATGCACGTGCATAGGCAGAGGTGTGCACAAGTCTCATGAACACACCTGGTCGCCAAACTTCATGTACAGATGACCGTTCTTGAGATCACCGACGTCTGTGTCGTTGCTGCCCTCAATAGAGTCTCTGCTCATGAGCGACCCCAATATGTTGGTCAAAGGGCTAACGGTATCACCCAACAGACCTCCCTCATACACCGGATCATAGTTCTTTTTGTCCTGTGTGGGGGATCAGAAGAGTATTAAACACATGCAGGAGATATTTGCAGACAAATCTTATATATATATATATAGATATTAATATATATACACATACAAATACAAATACACATACACACACGCACACACACACATATATATATATATATAAATGTACATAGCGAACGACGACATAGCAAAAGTATCCAAATATCCACCGTTGCGTATGCAGACACTCATTATATAACTAGTGGCCATTGGTTCCCATCTCCTATCTCACACTTTGGCCTTTCAATTTCCCGAACCATGCAACAAGGTCATTGGAATAAAACCCAAAAACCCTACAACGAATAATCTTGCACTTCCTCAAAAATCGATTTTGTGGGATTGCCGCGCCAAGGCGACAAACCCACAGAATAATAAAACAGAAACATTGGGTCATTCAGAACCCAAACGACTGACAAACAGAGCTCAACACCATACACTAATCAAAAGACTATAACACTACATCTGACATTTCACCACGCCTTACTACCAGCATACGTATCACATCCCTCACACCAACACACACAATACACCATCCACATACCTTCAGCAGGATCTTGCGCTTGAATTGACTAGGCGACGGCAGGACAGCCCCAGGAGTTGGGTCCAACACCTCCATATGAATGGTATCGCCCATGACCTCTCTGAAGACATCCGCCATAATCTGCTGGCAGGGTGGGCTGCAGTGGTTCTCCAGCGACAGCACCAGCGGATAGTCAGACACATCCCATGCATGATCCATGATAGCCTACGCAGTGGATGGAACATCAACACACGACCAAGGACAAGGGCAAAGACAAGGACAAGAACAAGTACAAGGACGAAGGGGTGAGAAAGGGAGCAGTAGAAGAACCCTAAACCCTACAGGCACGAAGGGGGCAACGAACGTGTGCAAAACGAATGGCGTAGATGGCACTGATGTGCAAAACGTACATAAAGGTATATATGTGAAGCTGATCACATACGATCACATTGACATACATGCACTACAACGCAATTACCTCCACAACATACACATGCCCTACAATGCAATTACCTCCACAACATACACATGCACTACAACGCAATTACCTCCACAACGTCTCTAAAGGGGACTGATGTGCACAGCGTGTTGCCGTGGGTGATGATTGGTTCGCCATTGCTGCCGTCCCACGTGTCCACTGCAACCAAACGCGTGAGTCATAGTGTGATGTTCGGTACTTAATACTTTGAGAGTTTCAATGAACACGTGGTCATGTACTAATCACGTTGGTGCCATAGCACGCACGTGCCAAGGCCGAAACACGTAGAGATATGCCTACTACAAGTCACTTGCATGGGGTGTTCAGGGATAATTGCAAGAATAAGCGTTTAACCATACTGCATGGAGCACAGTTTACATACGTGCGATTATGCGCATGGGTGTACGTCTATTTAAGCGTAGACGAACGCATTCAGAGTAAACATGAACATCCATGTATCTAAGTACAACATACACTTCATAGAGAGATCAGTCATGTGCATGAAAACTATGTATCGACAAAAGCATCGAATTTCTTTATCGATAAGAGCCAGATACATGCATGCGCAGAATGCCCACAAATGCATAAACATACGTATGTGTAACAACCGGTCACGGCACTTTTTAAATTCTCAGTGTAGGTACGGGAACAGCACTTTATGAAGAGACAGTCAGCATGCACAGGCATGATATATACGTGTGAACAGACTCAATGAGATATATACATACGGTTTAAGGTTTAGGGTTTTTAAGGGTGTGGGGTTTGTCGATACACGCATAAACTTGCACACACACAACAACGTCTGATATGTATATAAACCCTACAACATTTGCCATGTATATTGCACGTGTGCTGACTTACATTCCAGACAGCGTGCGTTCATTCGTAAGCAGCGGATGTAAGCTTCAGTCGACGACTCACTGCGCAACTGGTCCCCCATCAGATACCTACACACATATGGCCAGGGTGTGGGAAATTGGGGTTGCGGGTGACATTAGGTGCATATATATTTATATATATACACAAGCACAAACACACACACCCAGAAACACACACACATATACACACACACACACACACATATATATATGTCTGTGTGCAATCACTCGCATATCCAGATAGATGCAAACTTTGCGGTTTCATCCGATGTATCGGTACTCTTGAATGGATTGGTAGAAAGATAAAATTTAAAGCCAAAGATTTAAAACATAGAAACTGCTGCAGACACTCAACACCACACGTACAACTGAACGGCACATTGGAGTACAGGAAGATATGCACATCGTTCACGAGTGCACGTACAGTCCATGTGTGCTACACATACACATCAGAAAAAAAGCACTTCATCACATACACATCAGAAAAAAAGCACTTCATCACATACACATCAGAAAAAAAGCACTTCATCACACACACATCAGAAATAAAGCACTTCATCACATACACATCAGAAATAAAGCACTTCACTCACGAGTGATGTACTATTGCATATCTCATGTGCCACACAGACGTGTTGTGTGATGATGAGATGAGTTACATTAAATATGTGTTGTGATGATGAGTTGAGTTACATTACATACGTGTTGTGTGATGATGAGATGAGGTACTGACTCAGCGGTTTCTGCATGTCGTCTGGTACATCCGCGGTTGCGTCGTACACGTCGTTGTAGGGACTGTACAGATAGTCCACAAACTCATCCACCGTCCAGTACAGCTCATGACCCCTGGGAACCAACGGATACAGGAATAGGAACCAATCAATTGCCGTCCATTTATAGAATTACTGTTGAGCACTTGCAGAGTACTATATATATATATATATATATATCTACATCTACATCTATATACACGTATACCCTGAATGTCTGTGATGATCCCCCCCCACTTACGTCCTGCCTGGCTTGAGATAGGTCTGCATGATGCGTGTGACGTATGCTGTGTCGCTGGCCCTGTCTTCGTGTTGTGTGTCCATGATAAACTTTTGCAGATTTTCGACTGTCATGTGCCCGTCTGCGCGGGCGTTGAGGTCAAACAGCGCTGCGACTGACGGTTGCTTAAGAACTGCTCGGTACAAATTCTTGAAGCCCTCCTTGTTCACAATCGGACTGTCGCCCACCACGGTCTTCGAAGCGTGTAGTGTAGATGGATGTGGTATTAATGGTGTAGTGTAGATGGATGTGGTATTAATGGTGTAGTGTAGATGGATGTGGTATTAATGGGTGTAGTGTAGATGGATGTGATCACCGTACACGTCCTCTGAAGACAACTCATGGATTGGTATCAGGTCAACACGCAACACATCACCGCACATGAACACTCATAGGATCACATATGTGAGCCATGCACACTTACCTCGAACAAACGCTTCACGTAATGCCGCTCGGCTTTTAACCCGCTCGACCGCAGGAAGTTCTGAAAGTCTTTCATATTGATGTACTCCTTCTTGAAATTCCGGAACCCTGCTTCTAAATACCTACACAAAAACCAAAAGTAAAACCAAAAGTAAACAACAAATTAATCAGAAATGGTATACACTACCAATCGACCTCCATCGATGCATATGTGGAGTGGAAACGTGGGGAGGTTGTGTGTGCGTAGAGAACGATGCAGTTGCCAGTGATAGATGTGTACAAAATAAATGTTGTGTAGAGTGAGTGTGTTGGCGCGGGCCAGTGCTCCGGAATACATTAATACAATAGGTGTGTGCATATATATATATATTCATATAATAGGTGTATGTATATATTAATGCAATAGATGTATTCATATATTAACACACATGATCACTCATCAGTTGCACATTCCAGAAAAGCGTAGCCAGCCGCATACTGCATGCGCCGTCCACCCCTTTCTGTCACATCGTACATCCCATTAACTAATTGTACAACTAAGACTACCACACATCGCTAGACACACCGTGCAACAACATCCCCTCAAACTGCGTACGCACGTCTGACTACAGACTATCAAAACCACAGATATCCCAAATGGACCCCTCCTGGGCCTGCCCTACCGCATACACCTACCCCTCAACACCCGTTGCCATGGTTACCACCGGGCGACTTACTGGTTGGACATGCCATCGGGGGTGTAGAAGATCTCTGGGTCTGCGTCGGTGGGCCATCCCTTGAGTGTGCGTTGGTTGGTGTATGTGTTGCTGTCGGTTGTGGCTAGTGTCGGCAATGTGTGACGTGCGTTGACTATCTCGTCCAATCCATTGACCCACCGCGAGAACGCCACTTCATTACGCGCCACCAGCGACAGCGACTGCCGGGCCGTGCACGTGTGTGAGTGTGCAGGTGAGTGGGAGTGTGAGGGTGTGCAGGTGAGTGAGAGTGAGAGTGAGAGTCATAGGTGAGTCATAGGTGCAAGCGAGGGTGTGTAGGAGAGTGTGAGTGTGAGTCATAGGTGAGTCATAGGTGCAAGCGAGGGTGTGCAGGTGAGTGTGAGTGTGTACGTGTGCGTAGGTGTGAGCACAATGGTCCCAAGACATATAAGCATACACGACCAACCGTGCAATATGGGCGGATCGATACTAAATACACAGACGGACTGAATAGCTAAGTAAATAGAGCCAAATGTCTTATGGGGTGTGTCATGGGTGTGCTCGTTGATCCTCACCTTCAGTCTGAACTGTTTGCCGTAGAGGATTGTGAAGCACAGGCTCTCTTTGCCTGTGATGATTTCCGCCGCACTGGTAGTACTAAAATCCTTGTGCTTGCAACCGCGCCGAATCTCAGAAATCTCGTGTATGGAAACTGTAAGGTCACAATGTACAGAACCACATGTCAGATACTCGCTGATATATATATATATATATATATAATATGTCAATACAATAAATGCATACGAACATATTTATATAAATATACATAAACCCACACATATGTATATATATACATATAATATATATTACATTATGTATATATATATAAATACATATATATTTGTAAATATACATGGA